AGAGAGGATCAACTGGCACAGATTACAATGCAGTAGATGAGAATGATGAAGTCCACCGAGTGATGATGAAAGTGGAACCATTGCTGGAAGCTTCGGGAAAACGTAATTGGGAAGCATCATGTTGACGCATGACGAGTTTCCTTGCCACTGCTTGCTGCAGACCTGGTGGTATCCCAAGCGTAGTAATCTGATGTTGATCTGGGACTCTGGAGAGCTGCTCTCCATGGGTTTACCAGATTCATCACAGCCCGTAACGATAGTGATAGTGGGAGTTATGATGGCGATACGATGGCTGGAAGCTCATGTGAGAGAAAATAACAGACAGGAGGCGCCGACGAGAGAACAGTTGCAGAAAAGAGATTGTCTAAAAGATTTAGATCTTTTTGAGACAATGTGCAAAGTTCTAAACATTCCGATGGAAGTGAGGAAGATATGGGCAAGAAAACGATTGATGCCATGGTTCAGAGCTAACATGACTGCATGGTTGTACGAGTATGCGAAAAAGCATATGTCGAAGCAGGGTGTACAGTGAATGTTAGCGGAGTCAGTATCACAGGAGGAAGAAATGGAACATTGATGAATGGTCGAGAAAACAAGAGGCAACAAGAAAGAAAATTAGAAGAATTTAGAAGTTTTAGAACTTCTAAACGACAAAAAAAGAAGAGAACAAAGGAGTGATGAAGAAAAGTTAAAACTCAGAATTGTTTTATGTGTGTGAAAAACTCAAGTGAGAAACCAAGCAACCAAGTTGTAATTGAAAACTGAAACATTTAGTTGAGTTTTGAAATTGTTGCATTTATAAATTTACAATTTGATTTTAGTTGAAGTGGCTTTAGAGACACTTATTATTTATTTCGAAAGGCTTAAGTGAAGGAGTATATTTAAAATATTCCAGCCTGCATGACTGTTTTTAATCAGCTAGGAGAACTGATCACTTTGTGGTGACATGGAAGGCTTGAGTAATCTCTCGAAGAGGGAGATTGTTTCATTGTTCTTTCTAACCACAAAGTTTCTTAGTTTTAAAATTCAGGACAATAAACAAGCAAGATTTCCGAAGGGAAGGAGCATAGTAGGATAATTTTAGCTTGTTGGTTGGCAGGACTGTCCTGCAAGCCAACACCTTTTAAATCAAAGAGAAAAAGTTTTAATCGGGACATTGACACTGAGAGTCAGAAAATATGTTTTATCTTAGGTTATATCCTCAATGTGCAGATTAGTGAAAGAATTTGAAGGCTATAGTGATGTAGTATGATGCCATTTATGTTCTGCAATGAGTCGATGTGACGTGGATAAAAGTAATTTCGTGCATTTTATAAATTCTGTTCGATGACACTGTAACCATTTTACGAACATTGAGCGATTCAATGAGGACATTGACGGGACTGTCCGGGGAGTATGTAACATTCGACCAGAATGGCCAAAATGCAAGTTATGCAGACTTCGAATTTTTAGCAGTAAGCCTTCCGGATTGATGATTATTAAGAGTTAAGAACGTTATTGGAACGATTGGCCAAACGTTTAGGTGTTATTCTTTTTTAACATCAAGACCAGCAGAAAAGTTAAAGAGCACTCAGCGCCGAGCGGATGTTCATTATAACGTCCTTAATATGGCCCTCACCGCCGGGGCGGAAGGGTAGATAGGAACGCGGAAGCCTTCCGGATTCCCGTGAATAGCTTTTTAACCTAGTTAAGACCGAAAACTCACATTCCAGGAAGGGTTGGGGGATTGGCAGTCCCCTGGTTCCCTGAGAGGTTTATGACAAAAAACTCTTAAAGATATACAAAAAATCAAACAAAAAGTAGTATAGTACCCAAGAAAAACAAAAAACATAAAAAAGAACCGAAAAAACCAAAAACAGTAAAAAAAAAAGTAGAAAATCAGTAGAAATCATCCCCCCAGACGAGAGGTGATCCGACCCTCCCGTTTGTTGTTGTTTGATATATTGTTGTTATAGGCATTTATATCAGTCAGGATCGTTGCGATAAATTTTGTGGCCCGTTTGTTGTGCTTGTACTGTAGGATTATTTGAGTATTTAAGCACGTTAATGCTAAATTGCGCTCAATCCGGAATGGTCTAGGGATTAGTGAAGAAGACTGATTCGGCAACCAAGCAGTTCATGGAGCGACAAGAGGGGGCTCAATGACAACAACAATCGACTATTTGGTATCGTTAACAATTTTTGTATCCCTTTTGGTTCAAAAAGTACGATAGTGATCTGTGGAGAGCTCGACAAGGCAGCACTGTAGTGACCCTTCATCGAACTGCGAATTTCCGAGTTAAACACCTTAATTCGGATATTGAACAAACCCGGAGGGGTATAATATTACTATTATTACTATTTATACAGCCTATATTAATACTCCTATTTTGTTTTTCAGTGAAAAACACAGTAAGCGGACTGGTTTTTAGGGTCAAATTAGCGATATTTTGATCCCCCCTAAATCGCGATTTTGGAGATATTGATATTTTTTGAAACAAAAAAAAGCGTCAAATTAGTGTGTTACATCGTAATTGTACTAGTATAATAGGTAGAACCGGTTGAAATTAATTCAGAAGTGGTTGGAACTATTTGCGTACCAAAAACCGAATTTTCGTGATTTTTGAATAAACGAAACACTATAAATAAAAAAAATTTTGGGAAATATTTGAGTTAGGACAGAAAAAATTGTTGTTCGGACAACGTCCACTAGTGAATCGACAGGTTTTAAAACTTGTTCGCCGATAACCTACCGGGTTACAGAGAAATCGAACTTAACGTAATTGATTTAGTGGATTCATCAATCCGGAAGTGTCCAAATAGCATAGTTTTTGGCCAAATTTTTTCAGCTAGATTAGCGTTGTAGATCAGGTTTTTTTGCATTTAACTAGAAAAGTATAGGCTTTTTGAGCTCGGATCAATAAATTTTAGATCGAGAAGAACAGAATTGCGAAAAGAGTTAGGCGGAACCTATAAGAGATAAATTTTTTGACTTTAGAAAAAAGACGTTTTGGTTAATAACTTTGAAACAACTGGACAGATCCAGTTGATTTTAGTACCATTAGATCAGAAATTAGCTGAGCTTACACATAAAAACATCAATTAATAAAAAAAAAGCGTGAAAATTTTTTAAGATAGTTTTTAGCTAATTCACTAATTCGGGAAGGTAGACTCTTCACGTTTTATGAAAAAATTTTTGGAAAGCCCTTACACCCCTACCAATAGGTAGTAACGGTCAAATAAGGCAATTTTTTAATCTGTTCTAGACGAAAAGGGAAGGCTAAGGGCACCAGAAAACCTTTGTCAATTCGAAACTAGGCTAGCGATATGACCCTTCACCGTTAGGGTGAATTGTCAAATAAGAGGCTTAACTTCAACCCGGAAGGGTCTTGGGAAAGAAGATACACCCTTCCTAGTTAGTTCAAACAGCATAATAGCATCGGAGAACGGATCCGGAAGGGTATCGGTTGAAGATTTGGAAAGTCTCTGAGAAGCTATTTTTACAAACCCGGAGGGGTCCCAATCCGGAGGGGTCTTATTTTTGCCAATCCGGAGGGGTCTTATTTTTGCCAATCCGGAGGGGTCTTATTTTTGCCAATCCGGAGGGGTCTTATTTTTGCTAATCCAGAGGGGTCTTGTTTTTGCCAATCCGGAGGGGTCCCAATTTTGCCAATCCGGAGGGGTCTTAATTTTACCAATCCGGAGGGGTACTATTTTTGCCAATCCGGAGGGGTCTTATTTTTGGCAATCCGGAGGGGTCTTGTTTTTGCCAATCCGGAGGGGTCCCAGTTTTGCCAATCCGGAGGGGTCTTAATTTTACCAAATTGGAGAGGTATTATTTTTGCCAATCCGGAGGGGTCTTGTTTTTACCAATCCGGAGGAGTCCCAATTTTGCCAATCCGGCGGGGTCCTGTTTTTGTCAATCCGGAGGCTATAATTTTGTTAAGACTTAAGAAGACCAAAAAAAAGAAAATAGTAAAGGTATTAGGTTATTAAGAAACAGGCTAGGAACCAGTGACTGCACTGGTAACTTGCCTTTTATAAAAGACCGGACCAAAACAAAACAGGTCTAAACTCGGATATTCGCGACACTAAATCTAAATTTAACAAGAGTGTGTAATTCATTGGTGTTGATTGAAATCCAAATCGTTATTGAGAAAAAAGATTGCTCTGAGGATTTTAGTAGGTCTAGCTTGGGCAGTCCGAAGGCGGATAGGTACCACAGGACTCGATGGGTGCAATAGACGCCCACTTGAGAAAATTACTGCCTTCAAGTTTTGTCTGTTTGGTGCAGCACCAAGCAGGGAACGGTCTTTCTATAGAAACAAGTTCGACTATTGTATTGCGACCGACTAAAAGTACAAAACACGTACGTTTTCCATAGTAAATATTCGTATTTTTTTTTCGTTTTTGGTTTTAAATCAATAATATTTGTGCTTGATTGGGTAGTGAGAACACTATCTTTTCAATAGACTGATATCATCATACTGTGCTAGCCTCACATCTCACGACTAATAATCGATTATTGTGAATAAATTGTATACACGCTGTACTGTGATATAATACAAGGATTCGTGGTCACTATTTAAAAGAAACTTTTGGAATTTATTGTGTTGTGTTTTTATTATCAGTAGTCAGACTAAAAGGATGCTAGCAATGGAATTGAGTGTATAGGCAGTAAGAAGTGATAAATTGAAAATGAGTCTAGACAAGTCGAGGATACCTAAACTAAGTGACAACTCCAGGAAATTCATACCAGAGAAACAGAGAAGAGCAATGAACGACCCTTTTGTGGAAAAGATCACACGAACCCGGTCCGACAAAGGGGAGACGGTTTCAGGCAGAATGGTTGAGACCAGGAGTCAAAAGTCCTCAGAAGAGCGAAAAACAATGCAAGAAGTGGAGGTCCATCCGGATCAGGCCATGGATGAGAACCAGGAGAGACATGGACCGGAGGGGAGAGGAAACAGAAGGCTGGCGAGTGAATCTACTCCGGCAGAACAAGGCCAAGATTTTGCTACTTCCACCGGGACATTGGACCGAGAAGAGATGACGGAACTGTCCGACATCTCTACTAAAATTGTGGCAAATAGAAGATCACCCACAGACAACACCATGATGGCAGGCGTGACGGAGAAACAGGCAACGTCCTCATCGTTTTCAGAAAGAGTGAAGAACACTTTCGGAAACATCTTTCCATTTACCATGGGAACCGGTACAAGTGATGAAGGATAATACAGGAAGAAGAAGAGGACGATGATGAGCAAGTTGACTTTGGATCTCGAGTCGACCTCAATAGTTCGATTCAGGAGAATGAAGCATACACCGACAGAGGGACTGGCACCATGGACCAATTTGGTGTGGCAAGGACGATAAGCAAAACCACAAATACATCAGGCCAGTCAGGAGATTTTGTGACTATGACAAACTCGGAAATGCGAACTGGAGAGAAAAAAAACACAGGGCTAAGCAACGCACCGGCGGATCCAGAGGTGGAAAATGAAAAAACGTTGAGGCAGAGAATCAAAGCCCGAATCTCGACCTGCAGCAAGCTACCTGGGATTGAAAGGGTGACACCGCCACTCGTGACCCATTGGTGGAAAACGGAGCATCAATTGAAGAAGCCCTGACCAACATAGTGGGCAGCATAGGAGAACAAAACGAACAAATGTCCATAAGAATGAGTGAATTAGAAAGGGCAGTCCACGTCGAGAGAGAAAGTCTGCGGGAAGAAATCAACCTCAACAGACAAGAAGTTGGTAGAAGCGAAAAACGCTTGAAAGAAAGAACAGATGAACACTTGGTGAAGAACTTGTCGCAAATGACGAGGGAAGCTGAGCAAAGAGAGTTACGATTAAGAGACGACATGGAAAAGTTGAGAATTCAACAAGAGCAGACTCTTGGGACTCTTGACACAAAAATAGATGCGATGATGGAGAGGCGAACTCAGGCTATCATTGATAGGTTGGAGGGGCTACTAGGCGGCAGGAGGGAATCAAAAGATGGGGAATCGAACTCGGGAGAACCCAGCAGGGAGCCGAGGATGAACTTCAATGAACAACAGAATAGGAGAAGGACATATGGATCCACTAGAGAAAGGGGCAGTTCATCAGGCTATGTCGCAGGAGAGAGTAGAACACGTGGCCCAAACATCAGAGGAAGTTCGACTGGCAACAGACATACCTCAAACGAGCGACCAACGCAAGATACACATGCGACTGGGAGATGTGATTCCAGGAACAGGAGTCATGCTAGTCAATAAAGAAACAATCCCAGCGATGCGGATAGAAGGGAAGTACCATATACAGAAACCTTATTAGGGGGCGAAGAAACTCAAGCGGGGCATTTAAGAGATGCTAAATCAATGGCCACAGCCTTTGAACCTCTGAACAGGTCTTTGGAAACATTCCCTACGAGGTTATCAAGAACCAATGAACGTAGCGAAAAGTCCAGAAGGGTTTTTGAGAAACCAAGATGCTATAAAGACAAATCTGATGGCTGTATTGATACCTGGATAGAGGTGATGAAACTGCATTTTGAGGAAGAGGACTTGTCAGAAAGGCAAGAATGCAGTGCGCTTATCAGTAACTTGGAAGGGACAGCCCTGAACTGCGTGATGGCCAAAAAGCAATACCAGCGGGATACTGCTGAGAAAATCTTTGAAATCTTGTTCAATCGCTTTAGCTCAGGAGTGCAGAGAAACCAAGCAATGATGCACTTCGAGAAACGGAGGCAACGTGAAGATGAGACGATAGACAAGATTCTAGACGATTTGGAGATGCTGAGAAGGCGTAGCCAACCAGATGAGTCCAACAGAATGATGAACCTGGCAGTAGCCTCAAAATTCATCGATGGTGTGAAGAATGATGAACTTCGAACAATGTTAGCGACACCTTACACACCACTCTCAACCAATGCGCCAACACCAGAGAATATCTTTTATTGAAACCTCCTTCGAGATCTGGATATTACAAGAACAAGTATAGCAATTTTAACAACGAACCAGCAAACCAAGGTAACAACTAGTACAAACCAAGGGACGATATGGACAAGAGGCGCTTTTGTGCGAATTGCAGTTCGACGGACCATCATGAGTCAGCATGCCCAATTTACAAACAGGGCATGAAAGCAATAGGCTTTAGCCTCGAGGACGAAGATGCGCCGAGAATTTCATGAGAGGAGTAATTGCAAAATTTGGCCCGAGGAGCTTCCTTTGCAACTTGGAAGGTCATTTTAAATCGGATTGTCCGCAATTCTGGGATGCTGTAGCAGACATCAAGCAGCCAAGGCAAGAGGAAGCTTTATCGGGTGTGAAAGCTAGCAAGGCTCACCTATTGAGTGAAGCGGAGGCGCGCAGAAAAGAAAAACCGCAAGAGCTGGCAACGAAGAAGATGCAGGGGGTAACGGAAGAGACATGTGAACTGGAACCGGTGACTGCGGCGGATGACTTCAAGATTGATTATGGGGCAGCCGCGAGGGATGCACTAAATAGAGTACAGCAGGAATTGATAGCGAAGGAGATCAAACAAGAGGTGAAGCTCGAATTGGAAAACGAGAAGTTACAGGAAAAACTGAACGCCTTTGAGGCATCAGAGGTCGAAGAAACGAAAGCACCGAGCAGTTTGAGCATGAAATTAAATGTTATCTCCGGGCAGAGGCTCGGTATGGTGCCACAGGGAAGCAAAAAACAATCTATAACCTTGGTAGTGGGACACCAGGTAATCAGAGTGAACCATCAGAATTCACTTTGATGCATTTGGACACATATGCAGATTATCTGAGGCAGGTGGAGCCACGCACTGAGTCAAGAGCTGTGCGAGCGCTACTAACAACCAGTGGCCATCGAATAAAGAAGCTTCACGGGCGCTACGTGGAAGTCTATGGACCGTATCAAGTGATGCTGAACGTGGATGGAACCAGCATCAACACTAGGACATATGTGACAACAGACAGTGACCAAATAGGGCAGATCTATTTGGGCGAAGAAGAACTCAAAGACTGTAGGATAGGCCATGACGCCATGATGGAGCAAAACGCAGTTCACATTGGATACGAAATAGATGTGACTGCACATCTGCTCGACACCAATGGGAAGAAAATCGGAGTCACAGGGCATCTGGACACAGGAGCAGTAGTGAGCGTGATGCCGATAAAAACTTGGGAAAGAATGGGCATCACGAGGGAAGATCTAATTCCGACGAATCTCCGACTGGCCGCAGCCAATCGAGGAGCGATTTACGTAGCAGGAATAACACCAATAACGGTCCTCCACATGGGAGGACGGGATCTTTGGATGAGCTTCCTGGTAGTAGAGAATTTGGACGACTTCGACCAATTCATCTTGGCCAGAGATTTTGTCAGGAATTACGACGTGATGATTGACTTGAACAACGGTCTAATAAGGATTACAAACCCGGACCGGAAGTATGTTAAGAAACCGATTAATAGAATAATAACAGATGAAATTAAGGAGCAATCTTTTTAGATAGAAAAGTAAAACTACAGCCGGACAAGCTGTGGCAGCAATTTCAGAATGAGGAATTTGAATTCGTTAAGTGATAGTAAACAGGTTTGTTTGGTACCGAATCCAAATAGGCAAATTTCAGTGATTTTAGGCCGGAGCTTCTCGGTAACTCGAAACGGACTGTGTGTCAGTGTGTTATTGAACACACTGCACATCACGGTTTCAACCCAGCGTGGAAAGAAACTTGGTTACGCTTTGCCGATGAGGACCGACTATGAGGAGACACAAAACTTGAAGAGATATAGAGTAAAAGTCTGTCCTTATCATGCCAATAAAGATTAAATATTAAGAAGGATTAATGAATTAAAACCTATTCATAAACTGTTTTCAATGAAGTCTGAAACGGCTCGAATTTTTCGGAACGCCCCTCGTCATATGAACTAGAAATGTTGCTCGAATACGACATGATAGAACCCTCGAAATTGCCATGGGCTTGCGGGGTAGTAATGGCGAAAAAGAAAGGGGGCAGGTTAGGTTTTGTTGTGACTTTCGCTACTTGAACGCGGTGACAATAAAAGATGCGTACCCGATACCGGGGATAGACGAGAGCCTCTCTAAACTTGGTGATGCTAAGTTCTTCACCACACTGGACTTGGGTTCTGCCTTCTGGCAGGTCCCTTTGCGAAAGAAGGACAGAGAGAAGACCGGATTTGCATGTGAACTGGGGTTGTACCAGTGGAAGAGGATGCACTTCGGCTTGTGCAACGCAACGGTCACTTTTCAAAAACTGATGGCTCAAGCTTTGAACAGAGTGACGAAGAAGTACGGAAATCTTGTGATGTGTTACGTGGATGACGTGGTCATAGCAACACCAACCCTGGAAGACCACATTGATCGGCTCGATGAGGTTTTTGGATGCATGAAAAGAGCAGGCTTGAAATGCAAACAATCAAAATGTTAAATTCTTAGAGATTCAATCAAGTATCTAGGAAGAATGGTGGAGGCATGGCGTGAGGCTGGACCCGGAAGCAGTAGTGGCTGTGTTGACATGGAAGGCTCCCAGAACGGGCACACAACTCATGAGCTTCCTAGGGTTTGCCAGTTATTACCGTGAGTTAATAAAAGGATATGCAGACAAGGTGTATCCAATGCAGAGGCTGATGCGCAACAAAGGAAAGAAGTTTGAATGGAACGAAGAAGCACAAATTGTCTTCGAGAACATAAAGCTGGAACTGTGCGAAGCGCCAGTGCTAGGCATGCCTACAGAAAAGGGCATGTATGTTCTTGACACAGACGCATCAGTAGTAGCCATCTCAGGAATACTGCATCAGGAGCAGGAATGGAATGGAAGAACAGTTCTCCGTCCCATTGCATACGGCAGTAAGGTGTTAAGTGATACTGAGATGAGATATGGTGCACCAAAAGCAGAATTTTTTGCAGTAGTCACATTCATGGAAAAGTACCGCGCATACTTGGGGAGCGCTCCCTTTAAGTTACGCGTGGACAACAGAGCGTTATCTTGGTTGAAGACATACTCGATGGATCAGAGTTATATTGGTAGATGGATAGTAAGATTAAATGGCTACCACATGATAATCGAGCACAGGATGCGGGACAAGCACCAGAATGCTGACAGCCTTAGCAAGAAGACCGAGTTCTATGAAAGACTGGAGCAGAAGCAAGCTAATCAGTCAGAAATCAAGGAAGGGTTCTCGTTTCTGGACAAAAAAACTTATGAAGCGC